TCCCTAGTTAGGTCCTGGAACCAGCTAGCCACCTCGATTCATAAACCCTGGGGTTCTGAGGAGAAACTTTGTTCCATATGTCACCCAACCGAAGAGGGTTCCTGCACTCGCCGTGCAGCAGAGCCAAACACTGAACACTGAGCTTGCAGTGGAGAAATTAAAATTGGTGTTGGTGGTAGGTCTGATCAAATAATTGAATCGATATTCCCTCCTCTGGGAACTGACCTTCAGGCCACTTCACAATGGACATTCCACTTGCTTAGACCACATTCCACCTGCTAAGACCATTATCTCTCCCCTCGGAGTTAACCAGAATCCCGACCTGCACAGAGAATTCTCTGCCCAGAAAAAGCCCACCTAGAGTCCTTTAAAAACCACTGACTCCCTGTCTTTGGGATCTGGCGCCATTTTGGGGCTCAGCGCATCTGGTACCCAGATGACCTAATAAATTCATAATTCTTCACCCATTTTGGCCTCATGCGTTCCTCCTTGGGCGACCCTAACAACTGGCAGGGCGCCAAGCCAAGAGAACAGGGAGCTAGCACTCAAAATTCAAACTTCAGTATGGTTTTTAATCAAGGGTTTTTAAAGGCAGAGACTGGGGGCTAGGGGTTAGGGTCGAGGGTGAAGCTGATTGGCTAGTTCTTGTGTAAGCCTCAGCGTTTGCCTTCATCTGATTAGTTCAGGTCCTGAGGGCACCTTGTCTGGTGCCTTCCTCACAGTGATCAGGTGATCTAACTGGGTTGGAGAACCAAGGTTTGGCAAAATATCTCATGATCACACATTAGTGATATTATCTGGAAAGCAAGAGGCAGACACTAAATGTCTTGTTATTGTTATTATTTAAGCTATCATTTTATTGTTTAAGCTATCCTTGTTTTGTGCTTAAATAGCTACATTTTTCTATTATATCCAGCAAAGTGTACTTTTAAACATCTCTCCTGGAACTTGCTGCACAGGCAGGCCTTCAGAACACGGCTAACATATTTCCTTCATCTTTGACTGTAAGGTATGTGATAATCAAAGCAATTGGAAGCCTATACCTACATCTCTGGACTCCATGATCTAATGTTTACTGTTAACCGTCAGTATCATACAGACTGCCATGTTCCCAGCCACTGCTTCAGAAACTCTTTAGATAGGGACACAGATTTCATTTAACATCCCCAGACCCAGTGATCCATGTACCCACTTACCACAAGAAGAAACTATAAGATCTCTCTTGTGGCGGCCACAGTAATTCAACGAGCTGAGAACTTGGTTTCTGATCACTAGAGCTGGGCAAAACATTTAAGCTATTATATTTTTAAGTAGAATAACACTCCTTTATTCAAGTTGAGGTAAATATTACTGCAAAGAAAGAAAAAAAAAAAACCCAGGAATTCCCCTCATTGTGGGAATTTTGCTATTTGGCTTTTGGAATGAGTGTGTGTGTTTTCATTCCATTCATGAAAATACACTCAAGTATTTCCTTACTCTGGTCAATATTGACACTCACTTTAAAACTAACTTTTCAAAAAAAAAAAATAAAGCCTATTTTAACTTCATTATCTTTCTTTATAAAATGTTTGCTATCAGTCTGTAATAAAAAGTTGGCACTTTATAAAATAGACATTTAGAAGGTTACCAATTCCAGTACTTTGAAGGTCTGTAACCATGTGCAGAAAGACTGGGTGTTCAAAATATTTCACACAATTCTGAACTTTAAAAAAGCTGTTCTCCAAGATTTGGGGGAGAGCAAAGCTAGATTCCCTTTCCTAACAGCCACATTTTGTATTTGTTATATTATGAAACAAGTACTTTTAAAATTAATGGTTTGGATTCCAAATTATACTTTTGAAAATCAGTAGTTATTTATGAGAATAGGAAAGTTGCTGTACATCTTTCTTAAAAACCCATTTCTTATGTGTTTTATTCTAGATTTACTTTTATCATTATATTGGGATCCTAATTTAATTTTAAATAAAATTTAAAAATAATAAAAAATAATGCATCATTACCATATAAACCAGCATTCCAATCTCAGTTATAGGCCATATACATTATCAATACCTTTCAACTAAAATGTATTCATAAACACATAAGAAAAATATAAAATGTACCTAGGTGTTGTTATTATGCAATAAAGCACTATTCAAAAAGAAATGATAGTCCTAGCTGGTTTGGCTCAGTTGGATGGAGCGTCTGCCCTTGGACTGAAGGGTGTCAGGTTCAATTCTGGTCAAGGGCACATACCTCGGTTGCAGGTTCCCTGGCCCTGGTCAGGGTGTGTGCAAGAGGCAGCCAATCAATGTGTCTCTCTCACATCAATGTTTCTCTCTGTCTCTCCCTCTCCCTTCCACTCTCTCTAAAAATCAATGGAAAATATCCTCGGATGAGGATTAACAACAAAAAAGAGAGAAAGAAATGATATACCAGACCCAATACTAAATATTGCATGAAAAGAGGACTACTTTTGTAGTTAGTAACAAAACAAAAAAAATAAGGTAATTCTAATAATTGCTTATTTTAATTGTTATAAAGCTTTTATAAGTATATGTGAATTAAGAATTCATCATTTCACTTATGTGACCATTTTTTAATCTGCTTTACTCCAATTATAAATTAACTTCTAGTGGCTTTTCACAAGTAAGTTACTATTTTAAAATTTTTCCATGATCAAGTACTTTGACAAACACTGCTACAGTCAAAAGGGATGTCTTGAAACCAGAGTTCAAACTACCTATTTCTAGAGCTCAAGACATCCATTTTGAGGCACAAAAATATGTGGCAGTTTTTGTAGCTTGATGTTAATTCAGATGGGTGCTACATTTCAGGTGCATTGATTTATGATTTCATAGATGTGTCAAAAAATAATAAATGGAGCCATTTTAAAATGGAGCCAAAGCTGTCATGCCAGAGAAACTGCTTGCATGTATTACTTCAGACCTCTGAAATATTAAAATAGGGCAAATAACCTTTGGACTGGGCTTAAAGCAACATTGTCCCCAAAAAACCGTTTGCAAAGAAAAGAGTAATTATGACTACTAGACTGAAAATTGAAAACATTGTTCAAAATGAGCATCCCTGTTATGTAATCTGTCCAATAGCAATGCTTCCCTCCTATTGATGTAATTGTCCTGCTTCCATTTTCATAAATATCCTTGCCTTTGTCTCCTGACTGGAACAGTATTTGGGCTTTTGCCTGAATCAGTGCATCCCAAGTAGCTATTCTTTGATCTCAAATAAATGCTTATGGCCACTCACTTCGAAAAGCACCTTTTTATTATTAGCTTAACAGATGAAAGAAGGCAACAGGTTGATTCCCCTCCCCGGTACAGTAATAATTGTAAATTGGCAATGCAGTGTTTATTCTAACCAAGAGTAATGTAAACAGTTCAACCTTTACTCAAAGGAGGTATAGTTCATGTGGCAAATTTTATTAAAAGCTTAACGTCTTTATTAGGTATAACTGTCAACATATAATGTTTAAAAAATACTGCTTCTGGCCTGGCTGGTGTGGCTCAATGGTTGAGCACTGACCTATGGACCAGGAGCTTATGGCTCCATTCCTGATCAGCATATATGCCAGGGGTTGTGGGCTCAATCCCCAGTAGGGGGGTGTGTAGGATGCAGCTGATCCATTGTTGATGTTTCTATCTCTGTATCCTTCTCCCTTTCTCTCTCTCTAAAAAGCAATTTTTAAAAAACAACATATATATTTTTAAAAAACATATATTTAAAAAATACTGCTTCTCTAGAGCAGGGCTTGCTCAACATTCTATAAAGGTCGATAGTAAATATTTTAGAATTTGCCATAAGGTTTCTGTTGCATCTCCTCAGCTCTGCTCTTGTAGCAGAAAAGCAATCATAGATGCCTGTAAATGAATGTCCATGGCTGTGTTCCAATAAAATCTTGTTTATGGACACTGAAATTTGAATCTCATATAATTCTCATGTCTCACAAAATAGTATTCTTTTGAATTTTTCAACTGTTTAAAAATATAAAAATCATTCTTAGCTCTCAGGCCCTACCAGAACAGGCACCAAGCTGAATGTGGCCACGGGATGCATTTGCCTACCCTTATTCAGTAGTGAAACCACCCTTCACTCCTCAAAGATGACCATTACAAAAAAAATTCATTATACTAGTCCTGTGCAGGAAAATATGAAAGCTAGGGAAAGACAAATTACTAAAGGATGACCAAGGTGTGAAGGAACCAAGTCCTCATTCAGGATGCCCCCTCCGCCCCGCCCTACTCATGCATGGCCACCTCATCTTGGCATCCACAGCCATCAGTGGCCAGACCCTGTGCCCACAGTCCTGTCCTGTGCAGGGTACTCATCTAGTTCTGAACAGCTTTTTTTTGCTGGGCATCTTTCATCATCTATCAAGCACCACTACCTGCTGTGGCTCTGAGTGGGACAGAAAGCCACGTTTTCACCCCCCAGTTCTGCACTTGGAATCCAGCTTCCCTGTCTGCTGCTGGCCCCAGGATGCTAGCAGCTGGTATGTGCTCTGCCTCCACAAAGGAGTTGGGGACAAGGGGCCAGCTCCCCCTCCCCCCCAACCCACCCCTCATAGCCAAGGTCGACCAGATTACTACTCTAGTGTTTTAATTCACCACCTTCTTATTTTGGCGGGGGACAGAAAAATGTTTCAATGTTTAAAACACCCATTGGTAAGGGTTATTTTCATCACAAGGAAGTTCAGCAGAGAAGATCGGGAAATTGTCACATAATTGGCAGCTCTTTAGAATTTAGACCAAACTTATTAGACCATGTTTATATTTTCCTGTGACCAAATTCCTGCCACAAAACATTTGGAAGAACATTTTTCCCCCAGTATGGGAAATTTGGGCCTTTACAGCAGACAGGCGGGATGGAAGAAAGGAAATTTAGAATTAACGTTGCTTAACTACTGTTAAACTAATGGATGCATCATTAGCTGAAGAAGCTAGCTTGTCTGTCAAGACCTCTCAAATCCCCAGGAGCTGAAATACAAAGTGCAGCATAAAGGGTGTGCAAGAGGCCTTTACTTTCTTAAAGGACATATTTATACAAAGGCACAAGTAAATAACGGCAAGTCTGGGCCAACTTCTCCCGAGTCCGGTTAAAAGGACAGCGGGCCAAGGACCCACCCGGTTTTCTCTGAGAAACGCCCCAACCCGCCCCGCCCCCCTCCGGGCGCCATCGTGCACCCACAGTTCCAGTGCCTTCCTTAGGGGCAATGTGGCGGGCGGGTCCTTCGTCCTCTCCCTGAAACAGGGGTCTCCAACAAGCTGCAAAGGCTAAAACACGATGTCTACAGTTAAAAGCACATCCAAAGGTCTTACAGCCTTGCTCAGTTGTCAGGAGCCTTTTTTCGTGGAGAAAACTACTGGTCATTGTCTTGAGGGTTTCCTTCCATTCTGAGGCTGGGGTAGAATCCGAGAGATCCGCTAGGAAGGCCTGAGCGATGGGGAAACCGGCCGGTGCTTTGCCCGGGCTCACCGTGCTTGGCCACAGGATCTGTCTGGTGCGACTTCACCACTGAGTGGCTCCCTCCTTTCCCTCCGCGCTCCCCACACTCCAGGTGGACGGCGCTCAGCAAAGCGTCGGGGTAAGTTACCCGGCGCGGCCCCAGTCCCACGGTCCCTCCGGGGGTTCTGGCGCCGCGGGGCCGAGGGCCGGCGGGCCGGTCAGGGAGAGTGCGAGGGGCGCGCGTAGCGCAGCGTGTAGTTGGCCCCCGCGTTGTTGTCCCAGTACTCGCCTTGGGCGCAGCGGTAGCAGACTGCGAAGTGGACGGCGATGTCCGGCGCGTTTATGTCCTCCCCTTCCTCGGGCTGCAGACCCGGGGGCAGGCACAGGGAGAAGTGGAAGCGCTCGGCACTCTGCTCCTCCTCGGCGCCCCCGGGCCCAGGTTCCCCCGACGGCGTCTCCTGCCGCTGTAGCTTCACGGGCTCTGGCTGCAGTTCGGCAGGCACGTCCAGGAAGGAGCGCCAATCAGTGAAAGTGTAGCGCACGGCCACGGCCCTCGGCCCGGGGCAGCCCAGCACCCGTCCGGAGCCTGTCACCTCCGCGCCCCCGGGCGCCGAGCAGTGCACGCGCTCCAGGCACACGCGCTGCCGCCGCAGGCGCTCGGCCGCCGCGCCCGGCCCGGGCAGCTCGAAGAGAGGACGCAGCCGTGGAGGCGGCGCAGCGAGGGGCGCGCTGGCCGCCGCCAGCAGGCCCGGGAGCTGCTGCAGGTCCTCGGCGCTCATGGGGAAGCTGCGGAGGCGGGAGAGCACGGCCGGCGGCACCCGCGGCTCCTCGGCCTCGCTGAAGTGCTTAATGCTGGCCAGGCTCAGCCCCAGCGCGTCCGCGAACTGCACTCGCTTCTTGCACTTGGCGCAGCAGCCACCCGGGCTGTGCGGCGTGTCCTCGGCCCTCTCGCCGCCCTCCGCGTCCAGCCCCAGGCCAAGCTGCTGGCGCTGCTGCAGGAGCTTGGCCGCCTGCAAGATCGGGTCGGCGGGCAGCGAGAAGGACCGCGCGCGGCGGCGGCGGCGGCACGCCAGCAGCTCCTCCTGCTCTCGGAGGACAGCCTCCTCCTCGGGGGACAAGGGCTCGGCGTCGGGACTCCCCGACTCCGCTACGCTGCCGCCGTCCCTGCCGCCCTCCAGGCAGAGGACCCCCGCGGCGGGCAACTCCTGGGCTGGTGAGGGTTCTCCAAAGGGCGCGGGCCCCGGCGCCTCCGAAGTTAGCTGCTGCGCCCCCTGGGGCTCCATGAAGCAGCCGGTCCTCGGGACCTATCCGGGTTGCGAACCCCCGGCTCAACACTCTTCTGGAGACTTAACACCTTGGGGTCGTTGACAGCGTGCGCCCACCTCGGGCTCAGAGAAGAAGGAGTTCCACGTGGGAGCCTCGGGGTTTTAGCGGCGGCCGCCTGGGCGGAGCGGGAGGGGGATGCGGCCAGGGGCCGGCTCCCGGCCTGGCCGCCCCGGGATTGAACCTGCGGGTGACGGGGAGGGACCGGGGCGGGGAGGCGCGGCCGCGGAACACCTGGAGGCTGGCGGCGCGGGGCCAGGGCTCGCGGGCGGGGTTTCCGAATATCCCGGTGGCAAGTGGGAGGCGGCTTTCTGAAGTCGGGGGTCCGTTTCACCTCCCTCCCACCCCAGCGGGGCCGCGGGAACTCCTGGATGAACTCGCGCTCAGCTTTCGTGGACACTGGCGTGAGCAGCCTCCCTCCAGCCGTAGTTAGCCCACAGGTCCTGACCAGGATGCCCTCGGAGGGTCGCAGAGCGCGTTCCTGCCGGCTGTCCCTCGGCCCAGGGAGTCCGCGGGGAGGGGCGCAATGGAGGACCACTCGCCCGCGAGGAATCTGGGAGGTGGCCGCGCCGCGGGCCGAGAGCGTGGGGCGCCTCCTGTCCTCTTCCTTCCTTCCCAAAACTCAGGGCTCCCCGGGCTCCAATCCCAGTCGGAAGCCTGAAGCGCGCTAGCCTCTCCGCGCTTCCGAAAGCCGCGCGCCGTGGGCCAGGGCCGAGCCTGGGGCGGGGACGGTGCGGAGACGCGCGGAGGGGGGGACCCGGCAGCGAGCCGAGAGCCGCCGGAGGCCATTCGCGCGGGGCCCGGGAGCACGTTCCCGCCCCTCCCCTCGGCCCGCCCGCCACTGCTCCGAGCTCCGCGCGCACCGCCCCCACCGCGGCCGGACTCCGACGCCACAGACGCCAGTGCCCCGTCCTCGCCCGCGGGAGCGGGGGCCTGCGGCGCAGGGGCCGCGAGGTCGCCCCCCAGCCTCTCCGAAGCCGTGAGATTCCCCCCTCCCCGCCCCCTTCCGAAGAAATGCGGAACTTGGGAAATGGGGACTTCAGAAGTGTTTTTAAGGCTAACTTTATTTTGATTAAGTCAGTGGTTCTCAAACTTTAGTGTGCACCAGCCTCACGGAGCACCCGGGCCCGCCCAGAGTTCTGATTCGGTGGGTCTGAATGGTGTCCCGCAGAATTGAACACGGGCAGGCTGATGCCGCTGGGCTCTGGAGACCGCAGTTGGGAACTAATCAACGCCTATGTGAATTGAACCGAGTGCAGTTGCTTTTGTATAAAACGTTGGAGATTCTAGAAACATAGATCCCCTATTTCACACAAAAACAAAAGGCAAAACCGTCCTACCCAGGTCATTTAATGCAGGCATAATAACTAAAACACCTTATGATCTGGCAGAATTTAAAGCGGCCAGGGCTTTCGGGATTTTAGGCATTTGGGTGTGGGGGCAGGTAAAAGAGATGGTGAGAGTGAAGGTAAGGATCATATAAGTAGCTAATATTGATTGACCACCAGAGGGTCACCTGCTGAGGACTCCCCTCTTATTCCCAGAACAACCCTGTGAGGTCCGAATCATATTATCCCTGCTCTACATGTGGGACCTTAAGGTATAGAAGATTTTTCATTGCCCAGGTCTTAGAGTTAGTTCGTGGTGGGATCTGAACCCGGGTAATTTAGAAGGAAGGTTTCTCCCATGGCTACTAAGCCGGGGCTGGGGGTGGTACTCATGAGGAAGGGTCTCTACTGCTCACTTGCTGGGGTCTTGAAGGTCCTCCCCTGCCCAGTGTGGAAAGCCATGACTGCCTCTCAACTGGGGGCTTACACAAAGGACCAGATACACACGGCCTGTCTTCTGGGACGACGCCAAGAAAGAAAACATTGTTTTTACATTTAAGTAGACATTGATATGTTATGGAGTTAAATACAGAATTTGTAAACTATTTTAAAGGTAAAATGGGACCTCCAAGAGATTTTGAGGTTGTGCTGACTCTCTGGGCTGCAGCCCTTATCAGGGTACCTGCCCATTCCGGGGCAGGGACAAGAGGGACGTGAGGCATGTAGGCAGTGGATTTTAAGGGTCGTGCAGTGCCCTGGTCCCAGCCCTGTCCTATTTTCCTCTCTTTGATGAAAATATTAGAAGTACCCACCTTCATGGGTCTCTCAGTATACAGTGCTGGAGGACACCACCGTTAAACAAAAAGTCACACAAGCAAATAGAGACTCAGCCACTCTGGGAGATGCTAGAAGGCAGGACCTGACCTGGTGGGGAAGGCCAGAGAAGCCTCTGTGAGGGAGGTGAGTGGGAGTGAACAGCTAGGACTGCAAGCAAGAGCATTTTAGCCGGATGGCAGGCCCTGTGTGAGAGGCAATGTGGAAGAGTGGGAATGGAGAAGGCCTGTGTGGCCCAAGAGCCCAGAGCAAGGAGAAGCTGGCAGAGCTGGGGATGGAGGGTATGAAGGGGCCACTCAGGGCCTTGAGCTATGAGAAGCCATGGAAGGGTTTTGAATCACTGGTGTGATTAACTAGATTTGAGGGTTGAAAGATCATTCGGAAGCAGGATGAAGAGCAGCTTGCGGGAGACAGAGGAATTGTGGGAGAAGCTGTCAGGAGACTGTTGCAGTGAAGAAGGGTGATCATCCTTGGTGGAGAGAGGTGGTGATGGTGGGGTGGAAAGATTTGAGGGCTATTTAGGAGTGAAAACCAACATTACATGCTAATGGACCAACATAGGGATAGGTGAGGGGGAGAGAGGTACCTTCTAGGATTTGGACATGAGCAATTGGGTGGAGACAGTAGAGGTCACTGGTGCAAGGACCACTAGAAGAGGAACAGAGGGGAGTGCGAGATCATGAATTCCGTTTGGGGCAGGTCGAGCTTAATAGGTTCTCAGGTTCTTTCTCTTTTTTTTCCTAAATATATTTTATTGATTTTTTTACAGAGAGGAAGGGAGAGGGATAGAGAGCTAGAAACATCGATGAGAGAAATGTTGATCAGCTGCCTCCTGCACACCTCCTACTGGGCATGTGCCTGCAACCAAGGTACATGCCCTTGACCAGAATCGAACCTGGGACCTTTCAGTCCGCAGGCTGATGCTCTATCCACTGAGCCAAACCGGTTAGGGCTCTCAGGTTCTTTCTGACCAGTTTGTCAACAACAACTTAGTGTCCAACAATTCAAATCTGACTCTGTTTGGAGTTAAGGGGCTACCAGTACTAGTATGCCCTGACTTCAGATGCTAGCTGCAATGGCATGCTGAGGCCTCCATACTTTGGCTCAGCCAACTACAAATTTGAAGGTTCCCACTGTCCTACGCTCAGGGTTGATAATCCAACAGAATGGCTCACAGAACTCAGATGAAAGGGGTCAGAATAATGCTACCCCAAAATATGTCATTTTGGCATAAGAATTATTTTGAGCTGAAGGCAATTAAGAAACAACAGACAAAGAAGAAATACTCTGTCCTCCCAGTTTTTGCCTATAAACCTGGCATAAATTTCCCTTTGTAAAGGTAACATAAATTCCCATTTGTAAATGTGTCTCCATATCTTTCTTTTTAAAAAGAAATATAATTGACATATACCATTATATTAGTTTCAGATGTACAACATCATAATTCAATATTTGTATATATTGTGAAATGATCACCACAATTAATTAACATTCATCAACATACATAGCTAAAATTGTTTTTGTTGTGATGAGAACTTCTAAGATCTTTCTTAGTAGCTTTTTTTTTAAGCTAGGAGAGAGCTTTCTTTTTTAAAAAATATGTTTTTATTGATTTTAAAGAGTATGGAAGAGCCCAGCCAGCGTGGCGCAGTGGTGAATGTCGACCCAAGAACCAGGAGGTCAAGGTTCAATTCCCAGTCAGGGCACATGCCCGGGGTTGCAGGCTCTGTTACAAGTGTGGGGTGTGCAGGAGGCAGCCGATCAATGATTCTCTCTCATCATTGATGTTTCTCTCTCTCCCTCTCCCTTCCTCTCTGAAATCAACAAAAATATATTTTTTAAAAATAAATAAAGAGTAAGGGAGATGTAGAGAGAGAGAGAAACATCAATCTGCTACCATCTGCACACTCCCTACTGGGGATAGAGCCCACAACCCGGCATGTGTCCTGACTGGAAATTGAACTGGTCATGTCTTGGGTCCTGGGCCACACCACTGAACCACACCGGCCGGGCTACAATATAGTATTATTAACATTAGTCATCATCTGTGTATTATACCCATGATTATTTATGTTATAACTGAGAATTTGTTCCTTTTGGCCCCCTTCACCTGTTTCACCCATTCCTTCCTCCTGATCTGGCAGCCAGCAATCTGTTCTCTGTATCCATGAGCTTGGATTTGTTGTGTTTGTTTGTTTAGAGTATAAGTGAGATCATATGGTATTTACCTTTCTCTGTCTGAGTTAATGCACGTAACATAATGCCCTCAAGATCCTTCCATGTTGTCCATATAGCAAGATTTTTTTTTATGGCTGAGTAATATTTCATTGTACATATGTACCATATATTTTTCATCAATTCATCTATTGATGGACACCGAGGTTACTTCAACATCTTGGCTATCTATACATATAAAAAGCCAGGACCAGAATGCTGTAATGACCAGAATGACCGGTCGCTATGACACCCACTGCGGCCAGGGAACTGGCCCGATCAGGGGGTGAGGCCGGCCGGCCAACCTCCTTTGGCCCCTCCCCAGAGCCAGCCCAGCCCTGATCACCCCGATCAGGGCAGGCCCTCCAGCCAACCTCCCACCATCTCCTCCTAGCCCCAATCCACTGATTGGGGCCAGGCCAGCTGGACCACAACTGTGCACAAAGTTGTGCACTGGGCCTCTAGTTGTAAATAATGCTGTAATGAACATTTTGATGCATATGTCTGTTTGAATTAGTGTTTGGGGTTTCTTTGAATAAATACCCAGAAGCGGAATTGCTAGATCCTTTGTCTCTTGTTATAGTCTTTGTTTTAAAGTCTGTTTGTCTGATATAATTATTGCTGCCCCAACATTTTTAAAATTTCCATTTTCATGAAATATCTTTTTCCGTCCCTTTACCTTCAGTCTGTGTGTGTCTTTTGATCTGAAGTGAGTCT